TTTTTGGGGGGGGGGGTGGGGATTCAGTCTTAGCCTACCAGTCATGAGCTAGTCTTAGTTGCTTCTTATTCCAAAAGGAAAAAAAAAAAAAGAAAAAAAAAAGAAGGAACTGGAGACCCGGACGTTGCCTTTTTTGGGAGGGAGAAGCCTACACACAAATCATACAAAAGACTATTAATTCCTGTAAATGTAACGAGCCATCATAAGCCAACCAAATGTGCGTATGGACAATGGATATTAGCTTCACGTGAGCAATGTAATTGACAGTCCCACCAAAAGATTGCAAAACTACTACAAGAAGTGTAGTCACATGAATGGTTAAATATGGCCTTGAATTCTGATTTTGTGAATAAAATATTATTTCAGGTTTTTAATATAAGAACTAGTTGAATAATATGAATATATTAAGAAAATTAGTTAAGTTAGTGATTTATAATAAATATGTATTATCTCTTCTAAAATACTATTGCTAATAATGTTTATTAGCTAAAACTATCATTTAATGAAACATTTAACATGTGCAACTTCTACAAGGATTACGTTGAAAAAATTGCAAATTGAATAAATATGAGAGATAACGTAGATTGGAATCTTGTATTTACAGACAAATTGAAAGTCAAACTAGTTTTTATACCACCTCCAATCTTTAATATAAGAGCTGGTTAACTAATTTGAATAGATTAAGAAAATTAGTTAAGTTAGTTGTTTGTAATAAATATGTGTTATTTTTTCAAAAATATCCTTACTAGTCAATTGTCATTTTATGAAATATTTAATATGTACAACTACTACAAAGACTACTTTGAAAAAAATGAATAAATATAAGAGATAAAGTAGATTAGGGCCTTATATTTAAAATCAAATAAAAAATCAAACAAGCTCTTATAAGACTAGAGGTAATAAATTGTATTTTACCTCCGACGTCTAACTTTAATTCCAATTTGTGACTTGAAAACAAGCCAAATCATATTAAGTTTTGACTAAATAATAAGCCTATCCTATTTATAGCCTAATTATAAACTTAGCATGTTTTTTTTAATTATTAAATAGATAGGTTTAGTCAAATCCTGTGTTTCTTATAGTCTTACTCATTAAAATTTTCAATATTTAATAAAATTTATTTTAAATTATATTATATATATTTCTTTTTTTAATTAGACTAGCTCTGGTCCTAATTATAGGATTTTGTTTGTAGACCACAAATAAGATCTTATAATTAGAACCGAAGGTAATATCTATTTATAAAAAATAAAATAAAATGATACATAAATAAAAAGGCCCTTCTAAAAAAGTTAGCCAGTTACGGCAAGCCCAAATGTCATAGAACAAGTCCGAACACAAACAATTAACTGAATTAGGTTCAAAAGAAGAGATTAGTGCTTCACAATATGACAAATTAATATTTAAATTTTTATTGAAAGAGATTTTCATATTTAATACTTGATATTGTCTTAGGTGGGATTATCTTCAATAAAAATATATCCATGAGTAACCAAAAAAAAAAAAGTTCAAACACAAACATGGCAAACAGCGCATTGTACCCAAAAAAAAAAACACGGCAAATAGCGCAGCAACATAATATGTACATGATACTGATAACGGACAATAGTTAATTAATACTACCTCTAATCTTAATTATAAGAATCAGTTGATTAATTTGAGAAAATTAAGAAAACGAGTTAAGTTAGCTATTTGTAATAAATGGGTATTGTTTTTCCTAAAATATCCCTGCTAATGAAGTGTGTTGGCTAGAATTACCATTGTTAGAAGAACTACCTTAGAAAAAAAATACTCCTCCGGTCCTTAATATAGGACTCAATTGGTGAGTTGATTTTGGTCCTAAATATAAGACCCATTTATCATATTTATCAATTTTCTTTAAATTACCCCTATGGATACTCCTTCAACCACAATCAAGTAGAAGAGGAAAATGGGGTATTAAGAAAGATGATTATGGTATTTTAGGAAAAACGTGTCATATTTCTTATAATTAACTAACTTACCTAACTTTCTTAATCTAATCAAATTAGTTAAATGGGTTTTATATTAAGGACCGGAAGAGTATAAATATTAGAGACAAAGTGAATGGAGGTCTTATATTCAGGACCAAAATAAAAGTCAAACAATTTCTTATATTAAGGATTAGAGGTAGTATATCATAAATTCAAATTCAAATTTTAAAGTGAATTAATAAAAATAATTTAAACAAGTAAGCTGAAGCCAACTAGATATAGTCATTATTTTCAGGATCATCATCAACTAGACTGTTGATGTAATTAATGGGACATGGGGATTAAGGGAACAGAGCAAAACATTTTAGAAAAATCATTTTTAATCTCAAATCTGGGGTATCCTTGATTTTTTTCCCCCATTCATCACTATATTTTGACCGAGTTTTTTTTATTAAATTCAAATTTTAACTTGACCGACATTGTAGTGGATTCCCTATTTTCTTAACAGGCCAATTTGATATCCTTTTTTGATTCCATTATTGTGGTGATGGCTTATGCTTCAAATTAATTCCTTCAAGAGATGATAAAACGTAATAAAATATAACACCAATAAGGCTATTTTAATTAACCTGACGAATCAAACAAAATACGTCACTGATTAATTAAGTATAGAAAAACACTAAACTTCTGACCAAAAAGAGTAATGAAAATGCCAGGAAAAGATATTCTTAGGCTTAGCCACCGAAAACCCAAAAAAAAAATCTCTAATTTTTAATGTAAGGGTTATCTAACTAATTCAAATAAATTAAAAAAATTACTTAGTTCTAATAAATGTAACATAATCTCTTCGAAATATCGCAACGTAACATTAAATTATATATTAATTTATAGGTTAGATGAATTATTTTTTCAAAATAATTAAATATAAGAGATAAAATGAGTTAAAATCTTATATTTAAAATCAAAACCAACTCCCTAACTAGCTTTTAAATTCAGGATAAGAGGAGTACAATATTAAAGTCTTCCTCATTTCCAATCATAAGAGCTTTCTTCCTTCGCCGATTGAAATGATGTTTTATTTCAATATATATGGGTCTATATTTAATTTCTTCAAGTCAAAATGACGTTTAAAAATGTGGGGGGGGGGGGGGACTTGTCTTTAAAAACAGAAACCCTTGTGTATTTGGTACAGAAAAGATGAGTGTTAAATTGTTATTTAAAAAATTATACGTAATCACTGTCAACTGAACATCATTTAGCCATTTACTAATTCTATGGGTCTATTCTTATTTTGGTAATAGTTGCACTCACCTTGCTGATTCTATTACGATTGGATGCTGATTAGTTAGTTTGTAGTATAAATTTATACATTAGCTCTTATATTTAGGATCGAAAAAAGTAATATATCATATTGTAATTAAACACATGATATCAAAGATATATAAACAAATACAAGTATAAACGCAGTTGAGAATTGCTTATATTAAACTACCTATATGCATTTAAGAATAAACTTCAATTATATATTTACAGATAATTTGACCAAAAAAAAAACGGAGATGACATTATGATTTTTTTTTTGAAAGAATATAGTTCATCAATGATCATCCATATCCATTAATTATTTCTCTCACTTTGTTTACCTACCTTCATTTGGACTGAGTCCCTACTTTTTGTTCTCTCCTACGGCAAGAGTAGTTTCCACTCAATTATTCTAATTTCATTTATATCTACCTTAATAATTAATCCAACATATCACTATCTTCGATCCTTAATATATTACTTTCGGTTCTAATTATAAGATCTTATTTATAAACTACAAATGAGATCTTATAATTAGGATCGGAGGTATAAGAGTTAGTTGACTAATTTGAATAGATTATAAAAATTAGTTAAGTTAGTGAGACAAAGTAAATTAAAATATTATACATAAAATCAAATTGAATGTCAAATTAACTCTTATATTAAACACATAGTACCATTTATACGTGCCTTCCTTTCACTTTGAAAGATGTAACCAATATATAAATAATGTCAAACACAATTACACACGCAATTAAAAACATGCGGAGTTGCACTTGGCCAATTATTTAGATAATCGAAAAGTCAGGCAAAAAAAAAAAAAAGATAATCGACAAAGATAAGATATACTTTAAAGTTCATTCAAACCCATCTCGTGAAATCACACTATTTTCATGTGTCGATATCTTGTGTCAGTCAGCGAGGGAAACGGTCTACATAGATTCTCAGTCACAGTCTTCACCATTAATTTCTTAGTGATGAAATTATTGCTCTTTGATAAATAAGATAAATTATATATTTGATCATTCAATTCTATATAAGATTTTATTTTGATATCTTAACTTAAAAAAAAGCATATTTTTTAGTCATTTATCACAAAACTATTAGTTTTAAATTATGATTTTTTTAAACAATCATGGTTATTTTAAAAGTCAAACTTAATACGTTAGTATTTAATAATATTTTACTAACATTTAAAATATCAATATTATCATTTTTTTAACATCAAACATAGTATCAAAGGAATAAAAATATTCTTTTTAAAATTAAAAGAAGAATTTAAAATCTTGTATAAAATTAAAAAAAAAAACTAAAAATATATTTTAGTCTACCAGATACACACATACTACCTCCGGTCCTAATTATAAGAGCCAGTTGACTAATTTGAGAAGATTAAGGAAGTAAGTTGAGTTAGTTATTTGTCCTAAATAGGTGTTGTCTTTCCTAAAATATCTTTGCTAATCAAGTGTATTGACTAGAACTATCATTGTTAGAAGGACTACTTTGGAAAAAAAATGTATAAATATGAGAGACAAAGTAGATTGGGGTCTTATATTTAGGACTAAAATAAAAGTCAGACAGGGTCTTATATTAAGGACCAGACGTAGTATATCATATATGTATATATGTGTATTAAAGGAAAGTGGGGAAAGAGAAAGCTTAAATTAGAAATGAAGCTGATCTCGTCATGGCCAAAGGCATAAGCAAAAGCAAGCCTCATCCATCGCTTGTATTGCGTAGAAGTAATCAACTCTATCTAGCTTCCTCCATTTCTATACCTCTTCCTCTATATGTATATATAATTCTTCTTCCATCTATAAAATCAACCGCATACCTTTACACATAAAGCCGTGAAGAACTTCTAATTAATTATTCCTCAGTACAAAGCTCAAAATATGGGTGGAAAAAGCTCAAAGAACAACGACGCATCAGGCAATAATAATACTAGCATGTCAGGGAAAGCATTCAACGGACTTGGCAATCTCATCAGACTTCTCCCCACCGGCACCGTCTTCGCCTTCCAATTCCTTATCCCTATCGTCACCAACGATGGCCGCTGCGGTACCCTCCTCAACAAGTACCTCACGGGAGCTCTGCTTATTATCTGTGCTTTCAACTGTGTCTTCGCCAGTTTCACTGATAGCTACACCGGCAGCGACGGCGGCCGCCACTACGGTGTTGTAACCCCGAAAGGGATATGGCCGTCTCCGGCGTCCGAGGATGTGGACATGAAGAAGTATAAGCTCAGGTTTGGAGACTTCGTGCATGCTTTGTTCTCTCTGTTAGTGTTCGCTGTGTTGGGACTTTTGGATAACAACACCGTCCATTGTTTCTACCCGGCGTTTGAAGCGCAGCAGAAGGTTCTCTTGCAGGTTCTGCCGCCGGTGATCGGAGTGATTTCCGGTGGGGTGTTCGTGATGTTCCCTAATAACCGCCATGGTATTGGGTACCCTGCAAGTTCCGACGATAATAGTGTTGCCGGAAACTCCCAGAAGCCCTAATATGGGGAAACTATAAACTATAAAGAGTGTCTGTGTAAATATATTTATATGATGCTTCTGTTTCGCTTGATTTGATGGATATTGATGTGGCTTTAAGTTTGGTGACTATATTAACAAGTTGGCTAATTAATTTTGTTCGTAAAAATTCAATAAAAAGGAAGAATGATGTTTGTGTGACTTTTTTGTTTTTTGCTAAAGCATTGGTATAGTCCTATTGGAGGTATTCCTATTCGAGGCACTGTTAGGTACTAAATGTGGACACCTCTTCTAACAGGGATTAGAACCTTGGTTCACTATGTTATGGGAGACTAGCCCCTTCCGTTAGACCCAACTCCCGTTAGTTGTTTGTGTAACTTTTTGATGATCTCTCTTGTTTTTTCTGTTACAGATTACACATACTTTTTCTATTTTATTGCTAATTTAAACTAAAATATGATGAAATCTAAAAGTTTTCTATAGCATCACACTACATGTCTAATTACTTATAAACGAGATCTTACAATTAGGACAGGAGATAATAATATTGTTTTTGTGATACGTGTGCAATGAGAACTAGGATTGGCTTTGAGGGATCCTGTTTAATTTGTGCACCAGATTCGGATCCTCAAGGTGAACACTGATCCGTACATAGTTAATAGTATGATTTTTATTTTTATATTTTTAATCATTTAACATTTTAATATGCACAAAATATAATCTAGCTAAAATGAAAAATTGTATTCTAACCATCACTTTTTCCCTAAAAAACAATTTTTTTAGTTAAAAAGCATAAGTTGAAAAGTTTAAATTCCATTAACATTATACTACCTCCGGTCCTTAATATAAGACCCTGTTTGACTTTTATTTTGGTCCTAAATATAAGATCCCAATCTACTTTGTCTCTCATATTTATACATTTTTTTTTTCAAAATAATCCTTCTAACAATGATAGTTCTAATCAATACACTTGATTAGCAAGGATATTTTAGGAAAGACAACACCTATTTAGGACACATAACTAACTCAACTTACTTCCTTAATCTCCTCAAATTAGTCAACTGGTTCTTATAATTAGGACCGGAGGTAGTATTTGATTTGTGCAAATTTCATTATAGTAAGAATGAACATCATGAAAGTTATCACACGATAGGTATCGGAGCTGGTTTTCTGATGGTATAAGCTGGTTTTCTGATGGTACAAGAGTTGGCCTTTTAACCATCGGCATTATCACCACTAGCTAGCACCCTTGCCCCGCCATTCTTAGAGCAAAAGGAGAGCTAGAAGAGCTGAAACTAGAGCCGTCAAAACAGGCCAAGCCCATCGGGCCAACCCTTTTAAGCCCTTTTAAATAGAGGGCCGGGCTTGTATTTTAAGTGGTTGAAAAGGAAATTGGACTTAAAAAGGCTAGCCCTATAGGGCTCAAAAATAAAAGGGCCAACCCTTTAGGGCCAAGGGCTAGCCCTTTTAAGCCCGTCTATTTTTTTAAATTATTATCAATATATTTATAAAGTTATAGATTAGTCTTTTATGAATAACTTTAAATTAGAAAAATACCTAGAAGTCAATACTCAAGCTAGATAATTGAAAAGAATTAAATGTCTTGGACTTGTAGAAGAATAATTAAAATCAATTTTCAATTCTTTCAAGAATGGTAACTGATATTCTTAACATTTTAATCACCATAATAGCTAGTAGATCTTCATTTACCATCGGTTTACATATCTTAACAAAGTGTAAAACTTTTCTTATTCGAACAAATGTTCAGGTTCTTATTTGTACTTATAACTACTGCATAGTTTTATTTCAGATAAGGTAAATGAAGACAAAAACCTTAATATTTTTATCACTGAAGAAGAGCTCACTTGTAGTAAAGAACAATCAAATATTGCTGATCTTGATGATACTGATGAAGATGAAGATAAAGATAATAATTATGTTGATATTGTTAATCTTTAACTGCTAGGTTTTATCTTTCTGTTTTTCATGTTTTGTTAGATTTTGATTTTTTTATTTTGGACAATAGTTTATTGGCATTTAATTTTTTTTTTCTATACACCACTAATTTATTTTACTTATATTTATAATTTAAATAAAAAATCTTAGAAGTTTTGTTGATTTATTTTTTATTTTAAAATAATTAAAAAGAATTTAAATTTTAAAAAATAACATAAAAGGGCCAGCCCTTTTAAGCCCTGAGCCCGCATGCCTAAGGGCCGGGCTTTAATAATTAGATAATTTTAAGGTATGTGGGCTTTAAAGGGCCGGCCCTTTTAAGCCTTGGCCCTTCAAGGGCTAGCCCTTTAGGGCCGGGCTAGCCCTTATTGACAGCTCTAGCTGAAACAGGTTTCAATAGCAAAAGATTATGCATGCAAACAAATCAAAGTGATAAAGCGGACCAACCCACGCTCGTAGGTTGGAACAAGTCGCTAATCCCCCTTACCCAAATAAGTTTTTCTATGTTCATATTTAGTGTCTGAGAATACTTTGAATATGATTATTTTATAATCAGATAAGACACTTATACTTGCATCTGGCTGGGGAAAAAAAAAACAAACAAACATGAGTTCTTTGGACTGCGTTAAAATTTTAGGAGAATTACAATAAGGTCTTAAAAAAATAATTATTAAAAAACCTTAATAACAATCTAAACAGTTTGTAATATTAAGTTTTAAAGTAGAAAATGACAATTTTTAAAATTTGTTTTATAATTATTTTCCTTTCTTAAAATCTCATTATAATTCTCTCTAAAGTCTTTAATGATGGACCTCAACTGAAAATTCAATAAAATTATTCTTTGAGCACTCTATTTTGCCTATATGAGGAAAAGAAGGTAGAAGATGTCAATACCAAGAACATAGAGGAAGGGGGGAGGAATCCAAAGTTCAGAACAAGATTGGACCAAAAATTGACGATGAGAAATTGTAGTTGGTGGATAGAGATGGGGTGTTAAAAAAACTACCTCTAATCTTTAATATAAGAACTAATTGACTTTTATTTTGTCTTAAATATAAGATCTTAATTCATTTTATCTCTCATATTTATTTGTTTTTTTAAGATAATTCTTGTAGTAATGGTAATTCTAACTAATGCACTTGATTTTTAAAAATAATAATACATATTTATTACAAATAACTAACTTAATTAATTTTTTTAATTAAATTAGTTAACCGGTTATTATATTAAAGATGAGTAGTGCTTGAATTTGATTTCACAAGACATCTATTAGAAGTTAGGGTCCTATTTATATTTTACGGATATTACTCTTAATGCTAATCCCTAAATTACCCTTTTCCTACAATTCACATACTTTAACGCCTAAATCCCCTATATAACAATATGCTTCGCTTCTCTGGTTAAAAAAAAAAAAAAGCTTTGCAGCCGAAATTTTAAAAATTATAAACTACTTCCGGTCCTTAATATAAGAACTAGTTGACTAATTTGAGTGGATTAAAAAAGTTTATTAAGTTAGTTATTTGTAATAAGTAGGTGTTATTTTCAGTAAAATACTCTTACTAATCAAGTTTATTAATTTTGACATTTGGTTACATCTTTAATATGTCTAACTACTACGCAGGCTACCTTAAAAAATAAATAAATATGACATACAAAATGAATTAGAGTCTTATATTTATTCATGACCAAATTGAATATCAAACTGAGTTTTATATTAAAAACACAAGATAGTATGTTATACATAAATATTTTTAAATTTTCATATATAGGTTCATTTCATTATTTGGTGTTTCTCCGTAACATTTATGAAGTGTGACATTTCGATTATCATACTGTATATAAACCAATAATTATCAATGACAAAACCCATATGAAAACTTAATAATTAATATAAAATTTATAAAAATTATATTACCTTCTATTCTTCATATAGGAGTTAGTTTGACATTTAATTTAGTTATAAATACAAGACCCCAATTCATTTTGTCTATAATATTTATTCACTTTATTCTAAATTAGTCTTTGGAGTAGTTACACATATTAAAGGTTTTATGAAATAATGGTTCTAACTAATTCACATGATTAGCAAGTGTATTTTAGGAAAGACAAAACCTATTGTTTTATAAATAACTAATTTAATTAATTTTCTTAATTTACTCAAATTAATTAACTAACTTTTATATTAACTACCTAATCTAGTATAGTATTATTCATAAAATTACAAACAGTGAGATGCATCTCAAACTCTTTCCGAAATACTATCTCCAGTTCTTAATATAAGAGCTAGTTGACTAATTTGAGTAGATTGAAAAAACTAGTTAAGTTAGTTATTTGTAATAAATAAGTGTTGTCTTTTCTAAAATATCCTTACTAATCAAGTGTATTAACTAGAACTACTATTATTATAAGAACTGTTTTAAAAAAAATAGATAAATATGAGAAACTAAGTGAATTAGCATATTATATTTAAGACTAAAATAAAAATCAAATAAATTTTTATATTAAAGATCAGAGGTGGTACAAGTTAGTTACAGTCTAGTTGGTGTAAGTTTCGGTCTATATATAGAGAAATCACATGAGAAAATTTGCAAGCTTCGAATTCATGTTCCAGGCTACGAAAAACAAAAAGACAAAAAAAGATGAGCATGTTGATAAATTAATTGGCAAATGATTCTTAAGAATTATTTGTAACTTACTCCTCTAGTCCTAAAATATAAGACTCTTATATACACTAGTATAAAAGTATTATATTTAGCACCAGAGGAGTAATTTTTTTTGTGCAAGTAATTTATCCTTTTCATTTGCAAAGTAGTTCCCTGTGTCATGTAACTCAACTTTTATTGTATGTAATTTATATTTTACTTGTGCAATTTATTATTCTAAAAATTTTTTGTCAATTAATTTTGAATTAATATGCAAATTTATTCTAAAAATTTTTATTCAGGAACGCTGAGTATTTAAAATTTTTGTTAAGTATAAAATTATCTCGAAAGTTTAAAATCATAACAATGTTACTACATAAAATTAAAAAATTAATGTTAACTGTAAAAATAGTAATACTGATTATTAATAATTTTAATAGGACAACAGTGTTACTATATTAAATTTTTGGAATAAATTTACACTGAAAAAAACTGCTGAATGCCAAAAACTGCAGGTCTAAATTTGCAGCTCAACCTATTAATTTTCAAACCAAGGTTGTATTTACAAAGAAAAGAAATTATGGTCTAACTCGTAAGCTATTC